GTTTTTCTCAAAGAGCAGCAACAATATAAGTATAATTTGTTTAACGAATATATAATGCATAGATAATAGGGGGATTTCATTGTCACCTCGATGAACTCTGTAATCGGTGTTCCACGATTATCGGTCAATCGAAGCATATATATATCTGCACGTAGCTCGATGTTTTTTAAATACGCGTCGGACTTTTGTCTTTTCAATAGGGGATAGGCCGTCCTCAATGGAAAATTTGTAGAATTACGTACGTGGGGCGATTCGAGATCCGGGACTCGAAAATTTCACGTAGCCCCAACGACGTAGCGTTCAATGACGATGGAATGACTTTCTACCGAGCCTCTTTGTCCGCGACCGTCTCGCCACGTGAGTCACGTGCGTGAGAGATTTCTTGCTCCGCGGGGGATCTTACGACGCGTTGTAAACATGAGACACTGGCGGACAATAATAGCTCTCCCGCTTGAATTTTTCCCTCCCTCCCGGCAACGACGAGGACGGCAACGACGAAATACTCTATTGTTCCCTGCGAAACTCCGTTCGTCGAATGACAAGTTGCTGCTTCGTCGCTGGAATCTCTATGGTAATACCATATTCCTTTCGAGAAACGAGGAGGGAATCGTGGCAAATAAGTGGCAAAGGGGATCGAAACTTATGCTCGACAGTTATTCCAAGCTCTTTCGATGCGCATACTAACGTCACGTTATCGTATATCTTCGAACGAACCCGCTCGAGTTGCCTTCGTTTTCGCGCGATAATTCCCCATTCTTGTCTCCGCGACAATGTTTTATCGAGCGAAACGGTTGAAATACGGTCGAAACTTGGGTAATGACCTAACGGGCGTAAGCGCTTGATAATAATCCCCTTGACAAAACGAACGAGAGATACGAGTCTCTTTTCCTTTTCTCGCCCTCCTTTATACTCGACGAGACGCAAAGAAAACTTCCCTAGCGATCTCTGATCGAGCATGCGCTCTCTTCGAACTTATCCATGTTTCACGATGCGAATTTCGAGAACGCTCGAAACGCCGGTTGATACAACGCCCGCTCTTCCTCGAGTTCTTCCTCGAGATACGCCGCGGTTCTTTGGTCGAGGTAGAATCATTACAAAATCCATAGGCTCGTTTGCCCTCGGCGGAGAGGTCGTCGCCTCAAGATTCGACGAACCGTAAAACGTCTGACCGGCTGTACGTGCACGAGCATAGAGAGAGGTTCACGCGCGAGCCCTCTATCTGCCGTTGGCCTGCCTTTGTGCCCGAGCATCGTGTGCGAGTGGTGCGCGTATACGTGTGTCGCAAGCCCGCTCGACTGTGTCCGATGGCGGTGTATCGACACGAATTACGCGTGTATGGGTGCTGCCGTTTACGAGCTACGCTAAGGTCGTAAGGTGGAAACGTTCCTCGGATAAAGTCGCGCTTAGGACCTCGATCTTCTATTCTTCTAAACAGGGACAGGATTTTCTCGCATAGGACGAAAGCTACTACCTGTTAAGGGAACAAACGTGCCGGTATTCTTTGATTTTGAAAAATAGTGTTCGCGATGAAATTGAATCGGGGATAGGTAGAAATCGTTTCGAGGAATAAATGGACGTTAATAGAAAATTGGAAGAGTATATTTCGAAAGCGCGAAGTAAGTAAATGGGAACGCGCGCCCACGCCGTTTTGTCAAGATATTTAGAAGCGTTGATCGTCTGCGAGGCTTCCTGTTTGGATCGGTCAGAGGAGAGTTTCTCCTCCGCATCCACACACGTCTCTCGCTATGATTCACCGGCCATTGGAGGCGTGAAAGTGGTTCAGTCACCTCGTCAAAAATAATTCGGTTGTACGAATCGCGTTTCAGGTTAAATCCAACGTTGGTTATTTCGTTTACCAATTTGATCAAGAAGATCACGTTTATTACGTTTTGTCGCAACACAGGCTAGATATTGGCAACGATCGAGTCGTATTTTTGCGATCAAAAATTTAAAATAGGGAACTAGGGGCCGAGTATAATTTTCTCCCGGATTTACGAGAATCCTAGAAGAAACTAAGCTATATATCTCGTGTACAGGTCTCAGGATAGTTTCTGATCGAGGGGGTCTATTTTCGAGGCTGACCAATGCTCGGCAAGGTGCTCGCCTCGTTCGAAGATACACTCTTCGTTTCTCTCCCTCTTTTTCTTCTTTTGCCAACGTCGCTAATTTTAAAAATTTACTCTTTCGGTGTTTCGCTCGCACGAATGACGTTAACGACATCTACGACGAAGTAAGGCTAAGCTAATAATCGTGGAAAACGTCGTAATAACGCGAATTTTCGTTCTCGATCAAAATTAATCTTATCTTAGAAACGATTCGCTCGATTCGTTACAGTTGTACGTTACGAATCGCGAGTAAAAAATAACCATTGATCAATGAATATTTGTCGATACAAATTGCGTTGATATTTTGGTTAGCATGCGAATGGGAGGGGGAGTTGAGGAAAAGAGGAAGGAGGAAAAGAGATGTCCGCGTTTATTATATCGAAATTCGCGTTGTATAATTATATCAGGTATTTTCGAACGTCGCTCATCAAAGCCCAGACTTATTTTCGCCTCGTATAAGCGTCATGTACCACCAATCTGTCGAGCAGAAGTCGGTTCAAAGATAAAAGTTTGTCGTCCGTTATATCCGGCAAGAAATCGCGCACGACCTGTTGCACAACGTTGAAAATCAACTGTATTCGTCTCCGCATATTCGCTCTATTTTCCTTTCCAATTCAATTCTCCTATGTTTCATCGGTCTCACGAATCTGTGTTGAATTCGTGTCGCAAGAAAATTTATTTCACGATCGAATATCGAGTTTCGTTCCCAGAAAAAAAAAGAAAAAAAGAAAAAAATTCGTTCTTTCTCTATCCAGACGGAATACCATCTAGATTTCCAATCTCGTTGGTCAGAATCGAAGTTCACGAGTGTCGGGTTGATAGATCGATTCGGATCACCTTACCAGCTGCGCATACGATACCGAGAAGTATTTTCTCGGTACGCAACAGTGGCCGCGAATTTTCGGGAATCGAAGCGGATTGAGAACTGTTCTTCTCTCTTTTTACCGCTGGCCACTAGCCAACGGCACTGCGGTACGCCATGCTTTTGTCCACAAAGAGTGTGCTTACCACACGAGCATATATATATATCTATCTTCTTACCCCGCTCCCGGCCTTCCAGTTGTGCCTCGAGTCGAGATAGAAAGTAGGAAAAGAAATGTACACATTCAGCTCTTTATCATCGCGACGCGTCGATTCGGCAGCGCGCGACTTTAACCACCGAAACGGAAGATTTCGCAAGCTCGAATTTCCGAGCGACCCACTTCTACTATTTCGCGCTAGTAAAACTCTATCGCGCGTTAATAAACTCCGCCCATTCCTTCGCGATATATCTCAAATTTTTCCTTCCATCTTGTATTTTTCACGCGGCAAGAGCGAAAAGGAAAAGTCGGTTGTTGCCTCGCGAAATCGCAAAATCCTGTTCTTCGTAACTCGCTGCTGATTCGCAAAGTAAACGATGGTTTCGCTCGCGCGGAAAACAAACGACGGTGAAAGTTTATTTGCGAACAAACGGTTTTTCTTCCGAGAAAAGCGACGAGCCGACGATTCCGACTCGATCCATCGAAAGTCTGAAAATTATTTTGCGAATTATTACGCGCGAGACGCGTTTTAATAGCGAAGAGAGCCGCGCGAGCGGCACGAGTTGGCTTTTATGTAGCCGTTTCTTATAACGATCGATCGGGTTTAAACGCTTCAGTGAACCGGGACGAACGTTACACGAAGACATACGGCGCTAGAAGTCGCCCGTGTAAATGCTAATCGAGATTACCAAGTAGATTAGTAGATGTTTCGACCGGCTGGATACGGAAGTTGCCGGCTGCTAGTAACGGTTGTGACGGACGAGAAACTGTGCACACCGCTTCCTTTCAATGGCCACCGCCACGTAGTTTCACCCATTGTTACGCTTATCCATAACCTGTCGATTAAATCTAATTAACTGTCGCGTTTCCGCGCTTCCATTATGCGCTTTTCATTAACGGATAAATTACCCTGTGCATCGCACAAATCTTGTTCGTATCCGATTATACTGTCTCTCCCTCCCTCCTTCCCTTCTCCTCCTCCTGTGAAACTGCCTCGATCGACAAAGAACGACAAGCGTGGCCGAGTTGCTCAACTTCCGAGAGCAAACATTTCCTTGCGTCACGAGATTTACATTCAACGTTGCGCGCTTTCCGCGAGAAGCGTTACGCGGTTCGCGTCACGATTTCCATGAAATCTTCGCTTCGAAAATCATTTTCGATTCGATCGTTTTTCCCGCGCGAAAATTTCAAAACGAAACGAATCGGCCATGTTGAAACACGATCGATCGGAGAATCGGTTACATGGAATGGCGAATCCCGGTTTCGGTTGATTCTTTGCTTTGCTTTTGCCTTCTCACGCGATCGAGGAGAAAAGGAAAACGAAAAGAAATTTTCAGAGACGTTGCATGTCGTCCCCGTGCATCTCAAGCAGCAAACGTATACGTATGTTCGTGACTTGGGCTCCGAATATGGCGCGTAAAGGGGACTGGACAAGGATTTTCAACTCTGCGAAAGAAGTTGCGAGTTTTGTCCTTCGACTCAGTCGGGGATCGCTTGTTTCCAGCGATGCTTCTTCAGGGACGATTAACGTGCAACTCGCCCCCTCTCCTCCATATATCAAATAATTCTCTTGTCAAAATCGATCAAAGTTGCTTTTGGAATTCGTTTAAAAAATCTTTGTGCATCGAACACCCCCATCTTTTTCCTCGAACAACTAGTTATTGAAAAACGATTAAATATTAAAATTAATCGTTAAAATTTATGTTGCCTAGAATGGAGATCTATGTATATCGATTCTGCATCCACCAGTGGATGATCCACAGAGTGGTGAACTGCCATGCGAAAGGTGGAATCCGACACAAAATGTTAGGTGAGCATTACATTAGAATATATAGCATTGCACAGCATTAGAACAAATATTTTTTAAATATCTATTATTGCGTTATTCGAAAGAAATCCTTTAGAAATGGATGTGGCAGTCACGAAAATATCAGATCACAGCAGATCGCGTGACAATGCATCAAGAAACTTATTCTTCTTGTATCATCTCTAAGGACTTTTTAATAATGCATAGTATTTTGTATTTTGCATAATATTAAATATTGAAAACTGGTACTTTCACTATAGGTAATTTTAATGCTTGCCATTGTAAAACATTGATTCACAAAAAATGATAAACGAATTGTGATTTTGGAATAGGACGATCCTGTTGTCCGTGATATCGTTACTGAACGAACCGAATACATACAGCCCTGCCAACGTGGATGCCTCCGTAATGTATAGGCGCTGGCGCGACTCCAAGGGTAAAGACAAAGAGTATGAAAATATCATAAGGTACAATAATATTGATTTATTCCGCATTTTTTTTTTTTTTTCATTTATCTTCTACGTAACATTTTTTTTCCTCCTCCTTTAAATAACATAATTTTTCGATAATAATAGATATTATTTGATTATTACGATCGTGTAATATAAATTTATTATGATAAAATTAATTAATTAGTAATTTGTGTTTTTTTGAGAAAATATATGAAAATCGGACAAGTGCAAGAAAAGTGTGATTTGTTGATTACAGAAAACAGGCACAAGCAGCGAAGATGGAAGCTGAGAAAGAGGGGATCGTCGTGCCGGTAACGTTGGAAGATTATTGCATTAAAACTCATGCGAGGCCGGCCGAGCAACAGTTAGACATGACGGATTTCTATGATGACGAGTACGAACTGGATGACGACGATGATGACGAACAAATGAGCGCCAGCGATTACGAAGACGGTGACGACAGTGGCAATGGAGAATCGTGATCCATTTTCTGAAATAATTAAATAAACTCGAAAACGCTAATTATTATCAGTTCTGTATAGATTAATAAATTAACGGGCTTCTAAACCGGACGCTCTCTCTTTTCAGACGTGCCAGACCTAAAATTCAAGTACACGTTCAAAAAAAAAGAATTATTCGTCGTTTAAATGTTTAAGTAGAGTTTAAAATAACGTTGATTATTGCATAACTCGTTATCGCAGATGTTTTAGGCAGAATCAACGTTAAATTTGGTTAATCATTTATCACTATTCTTTTTTATAATCATTCGAGATTAAATATGGAATGAGAAATAGTTTAATTTTGATTTTATTATTTAAAAATTCTAATTGGAAATTATTGCAACGCGCGAAAAGAATGAAATGAGATTTCATTGTAATCGAAAACGAATTCGAAAAAGATTCAAGAAATTAAAAAAAATTTTAAGAAATTAATCTCGGTGAATAAAACCAAAATTCTGTGTTTCTAATTTTAAGATATGTTAAATTGTTGAGAATGCCGTGTTTACAAGCTCTTTAACTTAAGCAATATACGGTATGAAAATGAGTACTTGTTAGAAGCACTGTGCTTGTTGTGTTGTGGTTGGCACGTCGATCTTTTAACTAGATAAAAAGTAAAAGGACCAATTGATTTACCTTATGGTGATCAGCGTTCGATAAAATTAATCACAATGAAAAGTACAATGATTGGGCTGGCTCAAGTCTTCTTTATCCGTGTATCGTATTTGAAATTATCAATGGGTATATCAATTGATCCTGCATTTCAAATCTTCGGTAAAATTTACGTTAAATAAAATGAAATTTCTCTGTGTTTCGTATGATTATTTATGTTACAAGCTAAAAGTTGGAAAAGAAATTCGAATGTGTGAGAAAAAAAACAAACTGCCAAAAAAGACCTGTTAAACATTCTTCGTAGTCATAAATTTTATTTAAGACAAGTATGATGTTCGAATGTTTTTCCTGATTGAAACCGCATAACCGAATAATTGATTTCATTTTTCTTTTTCTATACATGCAGATTTATATGCATAAGTTTAAATATTACTCTTAAGTAAATACTTCTTTATTATGAAGCTACGAGGATTGTATTTTACGAATTAGTTCAACAATTTAGAGCAGGTCTTTAGACAGCTTGTTTATTCATTATTATATTCATGTTTAAAACATTTATAGTATAATTTTTTCCTATGATCGATACATTTTAAGTTTCAATGATTTGTTTCGTTAACATTACTAAATTTCTTGAGAAAAATACTGATGTACGTTTATTAACTTCTACGTGCATTGCGCTACATCCACAAAGTTAGTTTAGCTTATAACAATTATTAAGATCTCTTGATGTTAAGTATTATCTTTCACACGGGGACGAAGCTTTGTAGGTGAAATTGATTAAACATAAGCTTACTACTTAAGTGAAAGGAATACCAGATACAGCTAACCTACTCTGTGGTAGTGTATCTGTGCTCGTACGACTGAAATTGTAAATAGTACATGAAACTCAATCTTAAAGACATGAAATGTGTAAATGGTACTTCTATCTTCGTTCTCCATTAGCCATTTTATTAAAAGACCAAAATTAAGTGTTGAAAAATGTTAAACGATAAAATAAAAGCAAAAGAATATTTAAATTTCAATATTGTCTAAAGGAAACATATATTCAGCGCTTGTAGTAGTATAGCAAAAGATAAATATTCCCTAGTTCCTTGACATACTGTAAAACTTTTTTTTCATTTCATGTTGTCCCTAGTTACTTAATAATAGATAAAACTGTGTAAGACACTGACATAACACTAATAATTTGTATACTACATAATTCTTTTCTCCTTTTTTTGTACATACCAATAAAATCTCTTCGTACAATTTAATAAAACTAGCGCAACAATATTACATACATTTGTTCATAGTTTAAGTTAAATATTACTTTAATTTTTCGTATTTTCGTACCTATATAATGATTAAATTAATATATTTATAATATTGATAGACTGATAAAAAACACTTTATTTTTTAGGTAAGTAAACGTGTCTTTATTGAAAATCGTTCATCTTAATAACAAGAATAATTTCAAATCGAATCGTATTCAAAGTTATTATAAATATATAAATTGTAAATATGTAACACACAATTAACTTGCAGATTCAACATTTTCTTTTTTAGGAATACCTACTAATATATGATTTTTTGGTGTACATGTGTTCGGTATGAATTTAGAAAGATACACTCTATAACCACATTGTTCAGCCTGCAGTTTCCTATCGGTATCGATAATAGTCATACATTCGTATCCCTGATTTGTTTTGATATTTTTTTCATCGTGAGTTTGATCAGCAGCGTGACTAAGAATTATATAACTTTCCTTATCTATTTCATCCCTAAAAATATTACTCCTTGGATATTTCAAATGATCACAGTTATGCAATGATCCATAACAGCAAGGACAACATACGAAGATAGCTTTTTCTTTGATGCATTGTTTTATGACTAAATCAGTTGCAACTCCACATGCATGTAATGACATACCAATGTCGAAATGACCTTTAAAATAGTCTAAATTACATTGATAAAATTTTATATTTGTTAATTTTAATTTATTCACTCTTTCTTTAGCTCTATTCAAAGATTTCTCTTTATTTTCTAATAATATTATGGTACAATATGGCAAAAGATGCGCAACTAAGATACCTAAATGACCACTACCAGAACAAAAATCTACAATTATATCTCCTTTTTTTGCCAATTTTATAACCGGCTTACACATATTTTGTAATTGTTCGTGCTTCTTTTCTAAACGCGAAGGTGGCAAAGAACCACCTTCTGGGGTAGCATCATATGGAACTAAAGACCAATCAAGATCTAATTCCGCACCAAATGGTTCCAAATCGAATTTAGTTTGTATGTTTAAAGTTTTGAATAATTGCAACGAATGCTCCACATCTTCCTGCTTCGTATAAATTCGATTTTTTGGTTTATATCTTTGATGCAGACTTTCATTTGCTACATCAGGAAGTGTATAATTGAATTTAGTTATATCTTGATCTTTTAATAATGGCAAACATTCAAGACAATTGAATATAATTTGATTTTTAAGCATTCTTTTATACCATTTATCAGTCAATGGAAGTAATTTCATTACTGTTTCACTCGAAAATACAGTTAATAAAATATGAGTACACACAAATATAATTATATCTGCCAAAGTCATGTATGAACCTTCGGCATATGTATGTTCTAATGTTCCGTTTTGCGAAATTATATTTTCATCTGAATATTTTTTAGACATAATATATTTGTACAGATTATGTAATCTAACTGGTTGCGACAAATGTCGTTCAAATCTTGCCATACTGGAAGGCAATTTGTTTTGCACTGCATCATCCGTATGTAAAAATTTTACAGTTAGAATTAAATCTACTTCGCAAAATTTCGTCCAAACACTTGCTTCTGAACAAGCGGTTAGACAAGAATCTTTGAATCCTAACAATTTCCGACAATAATGTGTTGGGTATTCTGCCGCGACATCCTTAATTATTTGTCGCAATATCGCGCAAAGACCTGCGATGCAACTAGCTTTATTTATAACGATAATTGGCAATTCACATGAAATTGCAGGATATGGAATTTTATTTAAGTCTATTATTTCATATACAAAAGTGGAAATATCTATAGTGTATGCTCGTTCAAGAAGTTTTTGTTTACTTGGTACAAGCTTAATACTAATTTTAGATTCACAATATTTTACAGTAAACAATGTTATTATTGTTTCTATAGGGGCTAGACATAATTCTTTCAAAGAATATATTTCCAAATAAGCTTCATTCATTTTTTTGAATTATCCCAAAGTTCATAACATGAATAAAAAAAATAGAAAAGGCTTATTAAATGCTAGTTATACACTAGCTCTTAGTTGTCTGGCCACTTTTCTTATTATCCTTTGTCTCAGCACATTTTCTCTCCAATAAACACTAATACAGGAAGTTAATGCCAAAAGAAACATAAATGTTTCAAACTTCCAAAATGCTCTTTCTTCTAACCAAGCTACCCTGTCACAACTGAATTATATATATTATATTTATTTTTTATTATAAAATTGTTTTTATTCTTTGTATATTTTTATTTTATAATATAATATAAAATAAAATTGGATAAAATTATTTACCTTCTTGTTATAGCTTCTCCACTTTTACATTTTAAAACTTCCTTGTATCTGGCATGAATGCATACATCGATACTTTTACTTGCTATTTCAAAAGCAGAACATGGATGACATTCTGATGTTATTTCATATTCATCTCCGGAAACACATCTGGTATTATTTTCAAAATTTTCCAAATAAAGTTTATTAGAATTATCAGTCCAATGACTTTCAACAATTAATACCAATATTGTTAATCTAAGAAAAATTAATAAATATATATATAAAAGAAGCTATATATATATATTAAGAGACACGTGTTAATATTTATAGTAACTGCAATGTATAAACAAAATATAAGATAAAACTAACCCTCCTAATAATGTTATACCAATTAACATTCGTTTTTTTGTACATAATTCAATCATTTCGATGTATACTGTTTCATGGATTTCTTCTTTTTCGTCAGCTTACGTGATTCATGTAGAAAGTGAATAAAAGTTTCAACACGATAAAATCTTCACAAACACAGTTGAAACTATTTGCAAAACCGTACTGTTCTTACTACATATGAAGTATACTACGTATACAAGTAACACGTGTTTAATGGATTATTGTATATACATATTTCCCATAAGGTGGCAAATTGAATATTATATAATAATCTCATGATAATTCTATTTGTATTAATTTTCTGAGTTTAATGCTATTTTGACAGGTGTTATATACATTTTCTCTTAAGCATTATTCATTTTTTTTTTCTAAAACCATAGATTAGATATAAAATAGATTGTATTAATAAAGTTCAGAAAAAACAAATATGTAAATCTAAATATCTAAGAAAACAAATAGAGCATAATGTAATCTAATAATTAATTATGTATCCTAATAGTTCTAAAATTCAAATACCGTAGATTCTAGTAATATAAAATCCAATTTTTATTTTAATTAAAAAAAATTTTTTTTAATATAATAATAATTTATGATAAATAAAAAATATGTTTAATGTATTTTTATAAAAATTATTTTTTTTTCTGTTTCTACGCTATTTTTTTGAAAAATGCTCATACTATTGATAGTAAATTTCTTACAAATTTTTGGCGTTATCTCTTTAAAAAACATTGAAATATCTTACATATAGTTTATTAATAATAAAAGTTTTAATATTTTCTAAAAAATGCATTATTACTCAGAAATTATAATAATCTTGTTATCGATAATAGAATGGAACAAATTTAAATATTTTTCAAAGAGATGGCACTATTACTTAAATGTTATATGTAATATACATACATTTTATATATCGTATCATCTCTATGTTATAGATATATTTATATCTTTTTATATTTTGGCAGCTTTTAATATTTTAAAAAAGTAAGTGTATAAAAAGTAAACTTAGAATAGAATGGCATATTATATTTTATATATTAACATTAGTAGTAAAGTAAAAAGATAATAAAATAATAAAAGATAGTTCTTATCAATGTATCAAAGTAAAGAAATAAATATACAAAAGAAAAGAATCTCTAGAATTAAATAAATTACAAATATAAAATCTCTAGAATTAAAAATCCAAAAAAAATGCAATTATAAATATAAATAAATATGTAAAAAAAATAAGTATTTCAAAGATAAATTTACAAAATTTCATAAAAAATTTCGCATGTCAATTTAATTATATTTTTCTGATACAAAGTCGAAAATTTGGCTAAAAATTTTTGATTCGAAAAAATTTGATGTGTTATCTCATCGAAATTATATTCTCCTGATACAAAATTGAAATTTTGTAAATTTTGAAAAAATGTTTTATTTAAATTTTAGGAAAATATAATTGAACAAAAGATGATGCACGAAATTTTTTCAAGAATTCCAAATTTCCATAAATTTTTATTTAAATTTTTATATTTTTATATTAAGATAATATAATTCTGCAATTTAACATATTTATACTTACTTTATATTTTTTATCTTTCTTTTAATTCTTCTCCATATATATCAAGAATTAATCATTTTTTGACATTTTAATTCTAAAAAATTAAGAAACTATAAAGAACTAAGGATTTATAAAAATGTATGAGATATTTCACATAATTTTATGGAATAGTTCATTTGTTTTTTGTATTATTAAGAAATGTTTCAGATGAAAGTTTTAAGGGATTATTGTAATATTATTATATTAATAATTTTTAGATAATAGATAAATACATAAAGAAAATTTATAAATGATTTTGCGAGATTTAATTTTATTTTTTTTAATGAAATTATACGAATCTTGATATTTTCTATAAAAAAGTATTATACCAAAGTCATAATAAGATTGTTATCATTGCTGCTATGCCATTGGAAATTTATCATGAAAGCTATCATGAAACTACCATGTAGAAAAATCTGAAAATCCTAAAATATTAATAAAAAATAAAACAGTATATTTAATATGTATTTGAAACAAATATTTAAAAAAAAAAATTATTAACGCGACCACTTATCTATAGACTAATTTATATAATGGTAATAATATAATTTTTTATCAATTATTAATTATTATATAATATTGTAATATATAAATAAAAAACAATCCATAGTATGATATTTAAGAAATTAAAAAATTTCATAATCATTTCATAGTCATAAAAATTAAAAAGACAACACAAAATATAAAAATATGTTTTATTTTCACACAATTTTAACATAATAAATTGCCTAATAGGCAATAAAATTGAATACACTGAACGACTTGATATAGTTTATCATATCAAAAACTGCGCTTTTTTTAGATAATCTCACTTATAAAATCAATGAGCGAGCGAAGCGCGAGTTAAGTTGTACAAAGCACAAGTATATTAGAAGCACAGATATTTACGACAGAAAACAGCTTCTTATCGCAATATTAAAAATCGAGTATTAGCATCATGTTTGTATAATTTTTGTATTATGCAAGAAGGCACGTGCAAAAATCAGAAATTTGCTTGTCATGGAAATACAGATGTATTGTTACTTGAAAATATAATTTTTTTGGTTTAGAAAGATTCAGACTTATAAGCTATGTATGAATAATGTTTTTTATTGTTCATATATGTTCAAAAGCGAGATAAACCCTGTACATTTGATATGCTTTTTAGTGAGATAAATATTAAATAAATAAAAAGAAAAAAATATATATAATTGAAAAATTTGAATGATACTAATAATGTTAGATCATGCACAAACGCTTTAAAAGAAAAAAATGAAATAAAATGAATGACATAGCAGATAGAAGAAAGATTTCGTGAGATGATTATTTTTTTCAAGCAACACTTTAAAATGATTAATGTTATGATTAAATCTGATTATACTTCATTTAATTTGAACAATATTAAACAGTTATTATTGTCATATATCGTTGAAATTAATTTCTCAACGATAACGTCTATTTGCCCAACATTGTGAACAATAGTAATCATTTTCCGCTGAACCGAAAAATTGGCAATCTTCATTCCGACATTCTTTAACAATAGCCTAAGAAAAATCTCAAATTATTTAAATTCCATAAATATAATGAATATTTAAAAGCATACCAAACTATTATTGCTATTCCATAGCTCTGGCCCCGGTTTATAAGATGATGGTTGATCATTATAAAAAGTAGATCTGTAAAAAATATTTTATTTTTATTATAATAGAGTTAATATGATAATTCTTCTTAACTATATTATGTAGAAAATACCTTGAAAGATAAAGCGTACGATCTTTATTTGGATTGGTCGGTAACAATTTACTAACGCTTGCATGACTGTCTCGATCGCTGACAGCATAAAATTTGGATTTGCCTGCACCATAATTCATTTCGCTACCAGTTTCGTCAATTTTATGATCTTGCAAGTATCTATATTATATAATGAAAAAAAAAAAAAATCATCTTTTACAATCATAAATGATATATATATAAAATTATTATACCTTGCATGTGCACATTGAAGATAATTTTGAAGCATCTGATCCACATACTGATGACGTCTACTTCTAATTTTTACACATAATAAACCTTCTGTACAAAGTCCACCTGCTGTTGTTGGCAAATTCTTTGGTCTCTTTGTCATAGACCACAATTTTTTACTAACAGATTTTCCAATTGATCCAAATTGTTTGGCAACACCAAGCAATTGTTTCGCTGTTTTAGATAATGAACCGTCAGTATCGGACAATCTTTCGATTTCTTCCGACGTAAAATTTTGATATTCACAATCTAAATATTGCCGCAACAAAATTTCCATCTAAATACCAATATTATGAAATTATATTTTATGTCTTGTAATATATCTATAATTTATGTTTGTGTATTATATTGCTGAGAATTAATTACCGTATCTTGTTGACAAGTTAATAAATCTTGAAAACCTTCTTCCCAATCCCAATCAGGTCCTGGATCTACCGCGAATAAAACTGGTAATAATTGCCCTGTATCTGGATCTATAAGAGGTATGCTAACACCTTCATTAGAAGCATCTCCGAAATCGCTCGCTCCGTCCACAGTAACAAGAGGAGAAAAATGAGCTGAATGGTATGCTAAAAGCAATGGGGTTCTGTGACAACGTGATGGAGATACTTCTAATGGTAGATACACTCCACCAAATGGAATTGGAGCTAAAGCTACACCTTCTGCATCTTTTAACATAGTTTCTGCTATAACTATTATAGGTCTTTTTAAAGCATGAGCCAAAGTTAATACATGTACCTATAAAGTTTTAACATTATAAACATTTGATGAAAATTTTACTTATTTAAGAAAAAAATGCAAAAAATTTTATATACTTCTTCAAGACTTTGATAAGAAGTAGCAGTTTGATTTCTAAAAATAGGAGAAGCCATATCTACAATAGTTTGCCATTCTGTTAACCATTCCGTTTCTGTATAAGACAATCCTGAAGCTGCATTTAAGCCTATTTGACGCCATTTCCATCTTCTAAATAAAGCATGTCTATATTCTCCTTTGGCTAAAGTATTATGCAATGCTTCTCTTAGTGTAAGAAGCCTATCATGAAAGCCCCACATGCCAAGAGAAGCTGCATGTAGAAGACAATTGCCATCTCCTGATGTTGCCAAAGGCCATAAAACTCTGTTAGTTTCATTTTTACCCCCACACCACCAATTTAAACGACCAGCAGCTTCTAAAGAAGTTAAACATCCACCTTCTATCAAATCTTTTTCCAAGAATTGGCGAAATGAATCTAAGTATAATATATTATATCCAATTAATAAAGTATAATAAAGAAAATAATTGTAATTATCGTGTTGAATAGAGCATAGAGCATAAATTACCTGGATATAGAGTTAGATCAGGTAATGAGAATGTGAACTCTGGAGTATCTAAAGATCCTATAGTAGCTAACTGTGAACGAGCATGAGAGACAATAGCTGCATTTTCAGTTGCTCGAGATATACCTCTAGCCAACTTCTTTGTAGTTCCTCCTTCACTTTCCAATGCATTATTAGAATTTGTCTCTTTCTCCAAACCATCATACGTGGATAATCCTACGTTCATTACACTGTTTTATTGCACCTACAAAGTAGTAGTTCATCTAAAATTTATGATATTACAATTACAACACTGGTGTAAATATAATATAAAAATTATATATTAATTATTATGTAATGTATAATTAAAAATTATAAAAAAAAATACAAAAATTAAACACAATATATATCTATATACTAATATGTAAAAATAGAACAAGGTGACATTAATAATTTAATAAAAAAATAACATAGAATTATTGAATACATAATAAATTTAATTATATAAATATAAATAAAAGGAAAATTTGCAAATGATAAAAAAGTATTTTTTAATCTTTAGAATTACGAAATATCGAAAATAAATACACGTACATGACGATGATACATATATTCAGAGTTTGTATGTATATGTATCTATGTCGGATATGATTATTTAAAAAGTGCAAACCTTGGCCTATATATCGAATTAGTGAAGTGAAACAGTGCGATATAGTATCGCAGTTAAATAGTATTCTAATTGTTTTACAATATATAAACCCTTCGTATAGAGTTTCATATTTCGTATCACGATATTTATACTAAATCCAGTCTTAAGAAGGCCATCCGCAATGTAAGAAAACGATTAAGAATCTGTTTGCACTAATGGTGGTATACACACAACATAACCTAAAGCACGAAACCTCGAAACTATCTGGTAAAAGAGTGAGAAGCGAATTATTATTGTTGCGCACGGAAGTCACTGTGAAATTTTAAACCAGTCACATGTCTAGCTTATGAGTGGTATACTGTTGTTATTTACGCAGTAATGTTCCCACCCATCCGGTGAGCAGGTTCGTCCGATCGCGATAATGCAATTAATTTTGAAATGTAAAAAAAAAATCATCTACGCGCTACCATTTATCCTATAAGATTGTGCCGCTACTTAGAAATGCATTTAACCTTGAAAATATGCATTGCGCATCATATGTACCACCTACCTATGTGCATTTAAATACATCACGTTTATAGAATAATCGAGTGGGAAACATTATTTGAATCAATTATTGGTCTTTATCATTTTCTTTTAATTTGATCGATATAAAATTATTCTTTAATTTCGTTATGTTAAGAAATATATTATATATTTTAATTCATTATCATGAATATGATATATTACAAAAATAAATATTTTTATTTTTCTGATAGTTTGAAATGGGTTATGTTGACTTTCATACTTACAAAGCAATCATGTATACATTCTTAACAATAGACAATTTTTCATTGATTGTGTTTTATTGAAAAATTTATAATAAGTTTTTTTATTGATTGTGTTTTATTTGAAAACTTATAGAACAACGAAATAAACTGAATAAACCGCCTTAAGTTGATTTACTAACTTACGTGCAAACGTAGCGCCACAGGTTATCGTTTCCCAATGGTGTAGTAGTTCGTCTACCTCGCTTAAAACGTAAGACGCGACCATGCCGATATAGTAGGGGAGCACAAGTGTGCGTATTCTGTACTCGTATCTGTTTTAAATCTCAAAAAGATTGGTCAATTTTGTTGGAAAAGTTTTTTAATTTATCGCGAGTAATAACAGACTCGCACAGTAGAGAAGAAATTGAAAGAAATAACAATGAATAATTGTGGAATATACCTGATATTTTTTCTATCAGTTAATCTGTTGATTTCATTGGGCCACGTCGCCGGTTCCAAGGTGTTACAAATTCGTGGCATACCTATTGCAAAAAGTTCGCTTTATTCATCAGATCGTGACTTCCAGTGCCTTGATGGAAGCCTATTAATACCATTTTCACGTGTAAACGATAACTATTGTGATTGTGCCGATGGCAGTGATGAACCTGGTACACCTGCCTGCACCAACGGTTCATTTTATTGTGAAAATTCCGGTCATAAGCCACGCTATATACCATCCACCTGGGTAAATGATGGTGTTTGCGATTGTTGCGATGCAAGTGATGAATATAACTCGGTTAAAGAATGTCCAAATAATTGTAATGAACTTGGAAAAGAAGCTAGGTTGGAACAACAAAAGGCAGAAGAATTAATCAGGGAAGGGAATAAGATAAGAATGGAAATGATTGCCAAGGGTAACAATTGAAGGCAGATTATCAGGCACAATTAGTTAAATTACGTGCTGATTATGAAGAAGCAGAACGCGTGAAGAAAGAGAAAGAATTATTGAAAACTCAAGCAGAAGAACGAGAAAGTGCTGCTTTAGAAAAATATAAGACAATTGAATCTGAGCAACCAACACAGGAAGAAGGAGAAGAGGAAGAAGAATTGCACGAATCAGATGCTGAGGATTATTTTAAATTATTAGATTCTGATAATAGTGGTACCATAACAGTTGCAGAACTTCAAACTAGAGTGACATTTGACAAAGATCGGAATGGAATTGTAAGCGAAGAAGAGGCAATATTTTTCTTAAATAACCAAAAAGAGATCAATCTTCAAGAATTCATGGACACAGCATGGGCAAATATCAAGCCATTTTTAATGTTAGAACAAGGTAGATTATTATTAATATATAAATTCCTTTTATTTTCAGTTTAAAACATATATTGTATTGATATTTCATTCATTTTAGGTATGTTTAAACCAGCAGAGCAAAAAGAAGAAGAAAGAGAAGGAGAAGAAGAAGAAGAAGAAGGAGAAGGAGGAGAAAATGTTCACGAACCAATAGAAGATAGATCTGAGCAAGAGAAAGATGAAAATGATGGTACAGAGGCGGAAGAGGTAACAGATGAAGAACAGAAGAAAACTGAAGAACCTCAAGTGCAATACGACGAAGAAACGCAAGCTCTAATTGATGAAGCAACAGTTGCTCGTGAAAATTTCCAAGCAGCAGAAAGATCTGTAAATGACTTATTAATGGAAATCAGAAAGTACGAAGAAAAATTAAATCGTGACTTTGGTGTGGAGCATGAATTCGCTCCTCTGGATGGTGAGTGTTTCGAGTATAGAAATGTGGAATATATCTATACTTTGTGCATGTTTGTAAAAGCGACGCAGAGATCGGAATCTGGTGGCAATGACGTTAACTTAGGTCACTGGAACGATTGGAGCGGACCGGAAGGTCAAAAGTATTTCAAGATGAAATATGATCGAGGACTTAGCTGTTGGAATGGACCTGCGCGTTCTACTATGGTCAATTTAAGCTGTGGTAAAGAAAATAAACTAGTCTCAGTGACAGAACCTAGTCGATGCGAATACGCTATGGAATTTACCACGCCAGCTGTATGCAATCTCAGCCTGGAATCCGCTAATGCACACGACGAATTATAAATTTCATATCTCGTAAACGCGCGAAATTTAATACTAAATACGCGATTATATGAAATTGAAATATAAGATATATAAAAAAATTAGCAAGGATAAATAATGATCACATCGATTCATCCAGTTCGTTTTTCGAACGTTAAACTTTAACGTGAAACGTTATAACAATCGCGTGTTTACACGTCATTTTTCATTGTTGTAAACAAATGAAACTCATAATTATCTCTTGCACATTACGTAATAATAATGTGATGAAACATCGAATCTGTGATTGATTATTCGTCCTTGCATTAGAATTTTCTCGTCATTGTACTTGTATACTAAACAAACGGAATTCGTAGCCGATAACGCGGTCGTGAGTTATCGACGAGCTCGGTTTGCTTAAATAGTAGAGAGAGACATTTTAATATTCGTGTGAATAAGTGAATAAGAAATTGTTGTTACATGGTCATTGCCAATATCGTGTCACTGTTATACATTCCTCTTTTTGTACGAGATGAATTTTTTATGAGATCAGATCGGAATAAAACGATGACCTGAACTGTTTCACTCGTCGTTAGGTCACCACGCGATCGAGCGACTAATTCTTTTCGTCTTCAAATCCTTAGAGTAAATGAACTGAAAAATTCATTTGTGTACACACACATACACACACACACTTATACATGTATACATACATACGTACATGCATATACACTCGTGCAGGAATGTTGAAAGAAAATTCATAAATTGCCACGTGTAAAGTAGATAATGTATTTAGTGTGTCGAGGTATTTTGTAATTTTTTAAGGATGCGTCCGTGATTGGCGCATTGGAATGCAGGTTTAATAAAGAGATAAAAAATTTTGTTGTCGAACTGTAATTACGATGGCAGCTTTATTTACATTAAAACGGGTGATCTTTACTCTTTTATTCTTTCTGTATTATATATATATGTATATATATATATATATACAAATATAAATATATTACACTTATGTATATATATATTTATATTTATATATTTATTTATTTATATATATATTTTTTTTAATTATACGAATTCTTATTCGTTTTTAGAGAATTCTTACACATTAATTCAATTCTCTATTTATATTTTTATTAATTTAACAATCTATGCATATTTTTTGGGATTTGAGACGTTTATGATCAGCTAGAAAACTAAAAAGGGGGACGTGATCAAGAGAGAGGAGGAAAGTGAGTTTCTGATTTATCCAACAATGTTTGCAACCAGTCGATTCCCTAATACTTACTTTTTCGTTAAGGCACTTAAAAGACTGGAAAGAAGTATCTTGTCTTTCACGCGGTGTTACGTGATAGAGACGATACGCTTTAACGTCTTTTCTTCACCCCACGATGATTTTTTCTTAACCATTATTTTTTCTTTAAACGTACACGGCAAAAAGTCATGATTTTTTTTTCTTTTTTTTTTTTCATCTCAACGTGGAACTTTTTGATCATTTCAATAATAAATAATCAAAAATTAAAATCTATCGTGTACTGAAAATACAAAAGAAAAAAAAGAAAGGAAAAAAAGAAAGAAAGAAAAAGAAAAAAGTAACACTAGAAGCATTTTCGATTCTCGATCGAACGAATTACTTTTTAACGTCGTAGAAATTGTTACATCAGTATGGAAAGACAGCATTTTTCAAAATTTACCATAACGTCTCTAGATATGAATAATTTCGAACTATGTTTTTGTCTAACAACATACCCTGTGTTTGTTTTATGGCTCGCCTGGCCATTAAACACTTTGTAAATATATACGTGTCGACGCTATTTTTATCTATTCTCTTTTTATTATATTTCTTTAAATTCGTTTTCTTTCGTTCGCGATCGTGTCTGTAATTCTGTAACGGGGTTCTCTTCTTTGTATTTACACAGTGGAACGAAACACGACATTTATTGGCGTCTCTAAACTACTGTACAACAAGAAACACTAACTCCTAACACGAGAAGAATTTGTAAGCACGACGCGCGAGTATATTGCTTTGCGATATCGCGCACCACCTAATACTGCATTTTTTTGTATGATCGGCTATCTTATCGTGTATGCGAAGTTTGTTAAGAAAAGAAGAAGGAGAGAGAAAAAGAAAAAAAAAAAGATACGGATTGCAACGGAAGGAAGTTAAATAACACACGAATCGCAAATAATTACAGCTAGTTACGTTAACGTTACAACTTTCTCGCCACAGGCGAACTTTTCTTTTTTTTTTTTTTTGTTTTTGTTTTCTTTTCTTTTTACATATCGATTCCCATTTTCCACTTGCTTCTTTCCCTTACCTTTGCTCAAGTTTGAAACGAAGACATGTTTTGTGAAAAAACGTTATAAAAATTTAAGGTAACGATTTTTTATATTATTGTCCATCTTTTTACGTAGTCTTCGAACAACACATCTTCGTTCGTTGTTTCGTTATTTCCATACAACGTTATTCAGTCTACAAATGAAATCCAGATATAAAAAGTTACAGAAAAAGGGGCGTTCTGATCGTTTTTTTTTTTTTTTTTTCTTTTTATATCCGCATCGATTCTTTTTCTACTCGTCTTCCAAAATGAATCGAACGCAATAATCGCATATTTGTCGACGCGTGTGCGAATTGCGCGCGCACGTGTGTGTGTTTTTTTTATTATTTCCCGAGTTTCTCGAACATGATCAGCTTCTCCTTGAAACTCTTCGTATCCGTGGACACTTCGGATATATTACCGTTTAACATATTTTGCAAATCCTCGTCGTTCTTGCTGACGAGGAGATTGTCAAAAATCATCTTGTTGTCCTCTTGTTTTGCGACCGGCGAGGTAGGCTGCGACGTGGCGATTTGTTGCTTTTTCTTAGGATAAATCACAGAGCTTCGTTGATTGTTGCCGTTGTCGGCCATTCTGGTAACTATAGTGATGGCTAGCAGCTGATGGATATCGATGTTCTCCTTCGATTCCGAGGATTGGCGCCAATAGAATTTCTCGGGCGAGATCAACGGTTTAGAGTCTTCGATACTGCTATCCGCCGACATTTGATCCGAATGCGACATCATCAACGATCTATTGGTCCAAAGATCCTGAAAGAACACGAAGAAACGACAAGTTTTACGTTCTCGCTCCTTTCGAAAAAAAGGAAAGGAAATTTTTAAAAAAATCTTACGTTCTTCTCGCGTCTATCCGCCACGGTGTCCGCAACATCCTCCTGCCCTCCTTTCCTCTCCTGAATCTCCAAATCTCTCTCCAAACTGTCCAACGTTTCGGTGCTCTCGGACGACTTGTTCCTCCTCTCGGAGTCCAAAGTGTCCGTGCTCCCGAGCTCCGAGCTCTCGGACGATTTCTGAAGCCTGCACGCTTTCCTCACCACGATCGGTCTCCTCTCCTCCTCGTCCACGTGCCGCCCGTCGTCCACGATGTCCACCACGTAGCTGGTGCTCGGTATCCTCCTGGGCGCCCTTCTCATCCTCCTCCCCTCCACCAGCCTGTCCTCCCCCGACTCCAAATTGTCCGAGCTCTCGGACGACACGCGCTTCGACGACGACCTCCTCGAGCAACGCTTGCCCCCCCCCTCCTCCTTCGACCCGCTCATCTCGACCCTCTCGAAATCCTCCGACGACTTCGAGATGCTCTTCGACAACCTTCTCCGTGACAAGTTGATGTCGGGTACGCTGCTCCTCTTCTCCGCCTCGATCTGCTCGAAACTCTCCGACGACTTGGACATGTTCCTCGACCTGTGATGGCCGAAGCTGCTCCTCCGCCGCTCGATCGTCGACTCGTCGCTGGCCAACGCCTCTATCGCCTCCAAACTGTCCGACGACTTGGACACGCGCTCGCTCGACTTCGAGATCGACAACCTTCGGGGCTGTTGCCTCGCCTCCCCCTCCATCAACTTCTCGAAGCCCTCGCTCGACTTGGACAGCCAACCGTTGCCCTCCAAACTGTCGGGCGACTTGGACGAGGACGATCTCCGCCGGGGGAGCTTCGACTCCAGCTCGTCGAACATCTCGGCGCGCCTGGTCGACGACTTCCTGCGGATCTCCACCGCGGTTCGCTGCTCGTCGCTCGCCTCCACCGCGTCCAGGCTGTCCGGGGACAGGGGCGGCTTTTTACACTTCAACTCGTCGAGGATGTCGGAGGACGAACGAGCGGACGATTTGCGCCCGATCGAGGCCGCGCTCTTCGATTCCGTGTCGCTGCTGTTCACCGTGCTTCGAATGCTCGAGTCCTCGGCTATCGTGGTGATGGTCGGAGTTGCCGCCGACCCGCTGCGCCTCGGCGGCCTTCGATTTTTAGGCCGGACCGAGATTCGATGATGGGCCGCCGTGTGGCTCAAACTGGCGCTTTCCAGCTCGGCTGTTGAACGGAGAAGAGATATATATATATATATCGTTCGAAAAAAATCGGAGATCGAGAAGGACGATACTCACGTAAATCTTCTTTGGCCACAACACGATCGGCCGCCGATTTTGAGACCTGGAACGGAAGGAATTCGATTGGATTCGAGTGCTCGGTCGGACGCCAACGACAAGAACGAATTATCCGTATCGCCGCCTGTAACGGTATTGTCGGGAGGCAAGTGCAGCCACTTAACCGTGATCGTTGAAAACCGGTTGTTGACAGGTGTCGAGGAAAAGCTTTCTTCCCTCTTCGTAAATCGTTTGGTAAAACGGGTTTGGCCAGAATCGTATCTCTCTAACTCGAATTTCTCTTTCCGTCTAACGTTACGCGACACACTTGGCGATCGAAAGCGATCGTTATTCGATACACGTAACGTATCGAGGGAAAGGAAAAATAGGGGAAAAGACGGTCGATTACCTCCTCCTCGATTCGTTGAGGGGCCGCTTCTTTGGGCGGGACGACGATCCTCTGCCTCGAGCGATCCTCCATCCCTTTGTCCTGCGTTTTCGCCACGCGTCCAGACAACGCAACACACTCGTGTAATTCGTGCAACGGGGAATTGGGGATCTGATGGTCGGTCGATCGCTCTCGGTTCGCCCGAGGGATCGCCCGCCTCTTCTCAGGCCTCGGTCGATCCTCGATTTTCCGCATCGATCTCATCGATCCGAACCCCCTCTTATCCTGCTCCGCCTTGCGTTTCGTGAAACCGACAACGGTTTCGTTAAAACCCAGCCAATGTTTTAATAAGAAGGATTTTTCGCCGATCCGTGCGAACCTCGGCTCTCAATTTGAAAATGTATAATAACTGAGAGAAGAATGGAATCGAGTGATCACGAAGTAATAATCGAAAAAGCGGGCAAAGTTTAAGTAACGAGTTGAGGATCGAGATGCGAAATTATAGTTATTCCAGAGCATTTTAATAGATAATTAATAGATAGATTTTTTTTCTGGAGATTAATTCTGAGGAATGGCACGAATTGAACGAGACGGAGGTGAGTTCGTCGATCATTAATTTTCGTTGTATAACGGAAGAATAGATTTCGCTTAGAATCTTTTTGCACGAGTTTTTATGAAAAAAATACACAAGCGGCTGTTGGTCCATTTAAAAATGAGCGCGATCGCGAAATAAATAATAAGCGTTCTTATTTTTTTAAAACGACTGCTTAATCCTTTGCACTTTGTATTTATATTTAAGAAGATTAATTAACATGGAACATTTTTTTCATATTCCATCGAAATGAAAGGAAACATTTTTCTGGGAATCTCGATCTCTCCCTTGATCGGTGGAAATCTATATAAAAATGTGTGTATATTTTGATTTTTCAAAGTTTTTAAAAAATAAATAAAACTAAAGTTCTAAATTGAAAGGAACGCACATAGAAATAAACCATTCCAATATTCGAGAACACGATCTTCTATTGCAATAACTAAAACAAAAACGTGCCTAATACTCGAGAAAGATCAGCAGCCTCGAGCTACGACCCGAATTGCTCTGACGATATTTGTTGAAAAAAAAAAAATTGGTGATTAAAAACAAAGTACCGATGCTACACTTCCACAGATAACTCCAATTGCACGTCACACCATCGTACGATACGCGGCATCTTATGCAGAGCGATTATAGTCGCCCATAGTACGTCAGTGACAATGAATATAACGTAAAACGACTTTAGTCGCTCATAGTCGATGCCATCTTAGGCAGAGCGATTATAATATCTTAATGACATCTTATGCAGAGTACTCTTAGTGGTATCTTATGCAGAGCAACTATGGTCGCTCAATTGATGGCGACTATAGTCGCTTGTAGTACCTTAATTTTATTATAGTCGCCTATAGCATGTATTTCAGTAATATTTTATATAGAGCGACTATAATCGTCCATAGTACCTCAATGGTATCTTATGCAGAGCGACTATACTCTCCTGTAGCACGTCAGTGACATCTTATGCAGAGCAACTATAATTGATGGCGACTATAGTCGCCTGTAATATCTCAATTTTATATAGAGCGATTATAGTCGCCTATAGTATGTATTTCAGTAATATTTTATATAGAGTATAATCGTCCATAGTACCTCAATCTTATGCAGAGCGACTATAGTCGCCTGTAGTACCTCAATTTTATATAGAGCGATTGTAGTCATCTATAGTATATATTTCAGTAATATTTTATATAGAGCGATTATAGTCTCCTGTAGCACGTCAGTGACATCTTATGCAGAGCAACTATAGTCGCTCAATGTAGTACCTCAACTGTAGTACCTCAATTTTATATAGAGCGATTATATAGTCTCCTGTAGCACGTCAATGGCATCTTATGCAGAGCAACTATAGTCGCTCAATGTAGTACCTCAACTGTAGTACCTCAATTTTATATAGAGCGATTATAGTCACCTATAGCATGTATTTCAGTAATATTTTATATAGAGCGACTATAATCGTCCATAGTACCTCAATCTTATGCAGAGCGACTATAGTCTCCTGTAGCACGTCAGTGACATCTTATGCAGAGCAACTATAATTGATGGCGACTATAGTCGCCTGTAGTACTTCAATGGCATTTTATATAGAGCGACTATAGTCTCCTGTAGCACGTCAGTGACATCTTATGCAGAGCAACTATAGTCGCTCAATGTAGTACCTCAACTGTAATACCTCAATTTTATAGAGCGATTATAGTCGCCTATAGTATGTATTTCAGTAATATTTTATATAGAGCGACTATAGTCTCCTGTAGCACGTCAGTGACATCTTATGCAGAGAAACTATAATTGATGGCGACTATAGTCGCCTGTAGTATCTCAATTTTATATAGAGCGATTATAGTCACCTATAGCATGTATTTCAGTAATATTTTATATAGAGCGACTATAATCGTCCTCAATCTTATGCAGAGCGACTATAGTCTCCTGTAGCACGTCGGTGACATCTTATGCAGAGCAACTATAGTTGATGGCGACTATAGTCGCCTGTAGTACCTCAATTTTATATAGAACGATTATAGTCATCTATAGTATGTATTTCAGTAATATTTTATATAGGGCGACTATAGTCTCCTGTAGCACGTTAGTGACATCTTATGCAGAGCAACTATAGTTGACGGCTATAGTCGCCTGTAGTACCTCAATTTTATATAGAACGACTATAGTCATCTATAATACGTATTTCAGTAATATTTTATATAGAGCTATAATCGTCTATACCTTAATGGTATCTTATGCAGACTATAGTCTCCTGTAGCACGTTAGCGACATCTTATGCAGAGTGACTATAGAGTCGCTCATAGCACGTAAATGGGATCTTATGCAAAGCAACTATAGTCGCCTATAGCATGTGTCAGTAACGTAATATGCAAAACGACTACAGTCACCTGTAGTATCTCAATGATATTCTATGTAGAACGACTATAATTGCCTATAGTATGAGAGACATCTTATGCAGAGCGACTATAGTCGCCCATAATGCCTCAATGGCAGTCACCTAAAGTGACAATATAATGTGAAGCGATTATAGTCGCTCGTAGCACGTCAATGGCGACTATAATCGTCCGTAGTAAGGAAAGAATTGAATCCTAACGCAATACGAAAAGTGAAGGAAAGCGAAGAAAGACGAGCTTCCGGAACGGATCGGCGAAAAAGAAAAGAAGAAGAAGAAGAAACGACGCGAATCGAGGGTTAAGTTTCTCGATTACCTCGAGCGCGTGCTCCTCGCCCTCCCTCTTAATCGGGGCGAGGATCTTTCGCTGGCCAGTTTCCTGCCTCGGCCTCGGCCGATCCGGCGCGCGCCTCACCGGCATCTCGTACCCGACCGGCCTCTCCTTGCACCCGTACACGCCGATGCTGATCCTCGCCGCGGGCTCCATGCACCGAGGCGCCCCCGCATCCTGCTTCGTCCGGTCGATCAACCGCCTCCTCTCCACCGGGTTCAGGTTCAGCTGCTCGATTATCGCCCGTATGTTCGACGATATGCTACCCTCCCGCCGGGACACCACCATCTTCTCCACGATTCCTCCTCTCCTTAATCCGCCCGATCTCGCATCGAGCCAAGTCACGAATGTCTCTGCAATATTTCGCGAAAACTGCTCTCTCTCTCTCTCTCTGCCCTTCCTTCCCCCGAGAGACTCGAGAGGAAAGGACAGACGAGGGCGAACGATCGTTTTCCAATTCGACTCTCCTCCTCCTCCTCCTCCTCCTCCTCTCGTTGATCGGATCACCGTTCGAGAACAATCGCGTTTTTTAACGAATACTTCTACCTAGTTTTCGCGCGGTTCATCACTTTTCTCAAGATTTCACCACCTCGTCGTCCTCCTTTTTTGCCTCCACTCGCCTCGCGTTTTCCCACGCGACCTTCTCTATCCGCCGCGGTGGAAATCGGGTCTGTCGACCAAAAATTATAACGGCGTTTGGAAAAATTGGAAGATGGCGAAACGGAACGCAGCTATACTTGGATTGGATTAGAATCCATCGATCGGCGTATGTTTCCTCGACGGCAAAATCCAGGCCAGAGATCCCACGTCGGCCGCCCACGGCGCCTGTTTGCCCAACACTTTTCCTCGAATCGCGATCGAGAACGCAAAACGCTGACTCGCGTTGCGGAGCATCCCGACGAAATTCGAACGAAAGTTTTATCCCTGTTCGATTAAGAATGTTGAGCGATTGGAGTGTGTGGCTTTCAATATGGGAGAGAAAAAGAAGAAGAAAAACGAAATTCTTTACGTAATAATATCCCAACGATAATCGTATCCGATTTTGTTTTGAAAGAAAAGGAAAGGCCTAGCGTTCAGGTGATACGCAATTTGTTCCCGATAAATAAAGGAATCGAACGTGTTTGGAGCGAGCGAGTAGAGAAGGTTGGCGGGATTTTCAAGCAAATACGATCGATTGCAAAATCGGCGGTCACACCTGCACGATCCAACCGTTTGCATTCCAGCCGGATACGCGCGGTGTTGGCGGAAATTGCGGAACGTAATAATTTTCCACGAGAGAAGAGAAAGTGATCGTCGGGCGAAAGAAAACTCGGACGGCGTTGCGCAACCGTTTAATAATAAAAACGCGAGGATTTATAAAACTCTCTCGA